TTGTGTGAGAGCCTTCAGGCCTGATTGAATACAGCAATGGAAGGGAGCACTGCATGGATGGGATGAATGGCATTGATTCACCTGATTGCCATTCTCAATGACCTGAAACACCTAGTCTTGTTAGAGGATGGATCATTTAAAAGCTGTTTAAAGATACAGGTAATCCTTGTTTACTGACTGCCTTGTGCATTGACTAGAAAGCTATGAAGTCACACAGGGCATTATGACCACAGCAAGATTCTGTGGTCACATGAACTCCACGTACTTTGCAACCAGCTTTCAATAAACAGACAATAAAGAAGATGGAAGTCACAATCACATTTTTTGCTTAGTAACCATGGGATTTTGCTTAAGCAAAGGAAAACTAAGGCCATGAGCTCATTGCAATCACGTGGGTGTTTTTTTTTTTTTTGCTTAGCACCAAGTTGCTAGTCTCAGTTATGGTTGCTAAGCAAGAATTGCCTCTATTAGTGATATCTGATCTCATCTTGGAAATAATCTTTCCTGCATATGCTAGTATTATTTGCCTTGCAGGGCAGGAGGTGTTACTTTTATATTACTCAAGTTGTATTGAATGCTTACTACTTCATTCTCTGCTTGTATTCAGTTGCTCACATACCAATGCAACATTTTTTTCCCATCTCTTTAGGAGTTGCTCCTAAAGAGATGTACTTCATCTGCATCAGCTAACTGGGCCGCTTGAATCTGTTGAATGAGGTATTGCAAAGTTGTCTGCTTATATATCTGTTCCTGTTAAAGAAGAGAAGTTCCTTTTGCCTTTGTAATAAACACATGACAATTCAATGCCTCATTTTATATATTGTTATATTTGGTATACATATGTGTGCGTTTCTATATGTTTAGCTATGGGGAAGGGTTGGGTTAAACCAACGATAAACATGCAATATCTGAAGTAACCTCCATAATTTATGAAGAGTTATATTACCAGTTGAGCCAAAGAGCTTGCTTTACTGAGACTGCTTCAGTCTGATTATCATGTATAAGTGGATGATGATATTGAATGAAAAACCAAAGAAAGTGTGGGTGCAACAGATACTTTATGCAGTAATGCCAATGAATGTCTTCCTAGTGGATCTTTGCAGTTTTTCAAATTAATGTTACTCAAAATGAAATGTGTTACCCTTGAGCTTATGGCATCAAAGCCAGATGAAATACAGAAGATTTGATTTGCATATTGGCTTTCAGAAGAGCAGATTTTGATGTACTCAGACACAAAGTAGGTTATATCCATTGGCTTGAAATCCTTAAGGAGAAAAGCACCTGGGAAGGAGTGGAAAACTGGCAAAGTGACTTATATTTAATATTATACATCTCTCAAAGGACTAGTTGATCACCTTTGTGCCACTGATGCATAGAGAAAAATGCAACTCAGGATACACAAGGAAAATACAAAAACACATAGCTAATTTAAATTCGCATCTCTAGGACCAGATAAATTCCATCCTAAATTACTGAAGGAATTGGGGAAAATGATTACAGAGCCACTAAGTGTAATTTTTGAGAGCTTCTGGAAGATTGGTAGATCCCAGAAGATTGGAGAAGAACAATTGTCCCAATCCTCAAAGAAAAAGCGAAGGAAATTAACGATCTGTCTGACACTTTGACATCAATTTTGGGCAAGATTCTTGGGCAGATAATTAAACTGCATGTTTATGAACAGTTTGGTAGAAATGCAACAATTAAAAGCCAGCATTTGTTTGCCATAAATAATGCCAGGCTATCCTCTTTTTTTCTGACAGAATTGTCTTAATAGATTTTGGAAATGCCTCAGACATAGTGTACCTTAATCTCAGCAAATCATTCAGAAGTGTTTCTCTAATATCCATAATATAATTGCAAAATATAAGTTGTGTGTTACAATGGTTAGATTGAATTATAATTGGTTGAGTGATTGTACCCAAATAACTGCACATCAGATTGGAATGTAGAATCAAGTGGAATGCCACAGAGTTCTGTCTCAATATTTTTATTTGAATGATTTGCATGGAAAGGATTGAGGGAATGAAATAAATAATCAGAAAATGAAAGACACAGGAATAAGATGTGAGGAGCTGGCTTGGTTGTATATATGTGGAAATATTGGTGATCACAAATATGATCCAACAGAGTGAAGGAGCTGCTAAAAAGAGATATGTTAACAGGAGCATAGATCAGGAAGTAATTTTATTTGGGTTCACATCTAGATGCTGCAGTCTAAAAAGTACCTTGACAATTGTAGCCATTTTGCAAAAGGGGTGCCAGAATGGTGAGGGATCCAGAAGAAAAGTCCTATGAAGAGCAGTTAAAAAGGGACAGTATATAATTTGCCTGGCAGAAGACAAGACCATTACTGCACTAGATAAAATTTGCAGTTCAAGTCTGCAATCAAATTCATTTATTCTTATTACAGTACATGCTGTTTTTCAATTACTGGGATATCTAGCCATTAGCTATGATGCTTAGGATTGTTGGAAATTTCAGTGTAGTAATATTTGGAAAGCCAGATTTCCTGTTCTACGCTGACTTTCCTTGATTTCTTCTAACATCCTGTTGTAATTGTCTGTCTCTGAGAAGAGAAGGTAGCTTAACAATACTCTAGATATGTCTGTTTGAAAGAAAGCCACACTTAATCCAATGAAGTCCATTCTTGGGTGTATAGGACTGCAGGCCATCAGCAAATCCAGGCATTTAAAGGAGGATTAAACACAAATGTCAAGCCATTGCATGTTCTAAGCAAGGGAAGGGATCTTCTAGATATTTTTACTCAAATTTATATTAGTCGTCAATATGGTTAGTGAAGTAAGGTAATGGGAGTGGCAACAAGAAAGTTCATGTATTATCTATACACAATATAGAGGAAGCAACATGCCTCTATAAGTATCTTTAAAATGATGAACTGGCAAATTTATATTAGGAATTAGGCACCCACAGGTATTTGGTCCCCTTATTCTGAAAAACACGACAGGATTTATTAAAGGAGTAGGCTTCTGAGACCTAATTTGATAGTGGCTGACCAGCTATTTTAGTCTATGTTTTTCCAAGTTAACTTTAGGGATGGGATATGTTGAAATGCTTTTGTGCTTTATATTTTTACCATGGAAACGTCCTGGAGCCATTTAAGTAGACATTTAAAAAACTTAAATATTAAAATGAAAAAATATAAACAATATATGGTATTGTATCAAAGTTCTACAGGATCAAATTATCAGCCTACATTCACTAAGAGGTTCTCTGTCTGACAGGAAAAAAATCATTTTTTATTTCATTTCTTAGCTGGGAAAAATTTCAGAGATTTTTTTGCCTAGTATTTTATTGCAAGAAATGTAGTGCTTTGATATACACATTTTAAAAATATGTACAGTGTGCATTTTAGAATGAGATTTATTTATTTTCCTCCTAGAATGATACTAACATTCTATGAACTGCTATGTAGTACAGGTAATCCTTGACTTCCCTGCACCATGCTCAGCAATGGAAAGGCTGATGCCAATTGTGAGAATAAATCAAGGATTACCTGTATTTTTGAATTATGTGGAACATATACTTTAATTCTCTGTATGGTGAATTCACAGAGATTGCAGTGCCTCCAATCCTCCTGCCAACAATAATACAACTAACAACATCACCATGTTTTTGGGAGAAAGCCCTCTACTGTGGTCCTTGTACAGTGTCAAGAGATTCCAGAAAGCACATTAGATGTGACCACTGCAAATGCAGAGTTGTTAATTATCACCAGACCCTATAAGGTGCACAGACACTCTATAAACTATATACATTACTTTTATTAATGT